GTCCTGTCATTTTTATTTGTTCAAACTATTTGCTCTTTATTCCCTAAGAAAGCACTGACTCAAATCTTAAGAGTATATATATTTACTACAAAAATTGTACAGCTGAACAATATTATATAAATATATAATGAAAAGCTGAATCTATTAGTCCTCAATAACAACCTTTTGATTAAGTTCTTAAAAAAACTCTCATGTTTCTTAATGAGAACATGAGAGTTGCATTGAACACAAAATCTGCATTTTCTGTATATCTGTGGTCAAAATATTTCTTAAGCTGAATTTTGTGTTTTTTAATGACGCGTCATTAAAACTAAACCCAAGTGTTATGAGAATAAATGTATTGCTTAATTCCAGAGAGTTAAGTATGATCCACAATTAACCTGAAAAACATCGATGATTCAGAGCAAATGATTGAGATTCATTTGCTCTGAATCACCATTTTCCTCTTCTTTAATTTTTTTTTTTTGCTATAATTTGGCGAAAGAATATATTTGTGATATATAATAAACATTTGAAGCTGAAAATGAGACTTTTTACAACAGAATCTGTCAGATATATTTTTTTCATTATTATTTCTGTTCACTTCTTGGTCATGCACACATTTATAAATGCAACAGCTCTTTTGCTCTTTTTAGAAGTCGTAATGAGGAAGATTTGGAAAAAGAAATTTTATATAACTATATATATATATATATATATATATATTCGGTATCTTAATTTATATTTTCATTTATGTTTAAAATGTCTTCCTTTTGCTTCTTACACAATTCTTGGAGGCTTCTGATTAATGATATGGTCATAAATAATGCTAATTATTTACCCAGATTTATTTGTTTAATACTAGTGAGAGCCTCCCTTGTTTTTTTTTCTTTTACTTTTAATGTGTACTCTAAAATCTTTGCATTTTTGTTTCTTTTTATGTTTTTTTTTGTTGTTGTTTTTTTTTTTTGCAAACTCCATTGATTAGTACAATTAAGAGAATGTTTTCCTGTGTTTTTGCACAGAAATACTGCCACACTGTCTGTCTGGACTCTGGGATGGACTACAGGAGGCTGGACAGGCCTGCGGTTGGAAAACTTTACCACCTGTAAGACTCACGTGATGCATCGTGTTAATGTTAACAGTCCAGCTCAGTTCAGAGACGGTGTAGAAGTCTGATAGCGAGTCGACATTAACCTCCACACAAACATTCACGCACAGGAAATGTTTCTGCACATGATGTGGTTAGATTTTTTTCTTCTTTTTTTTTTAAATGATTGAAAGAGAAGGCAAACACATGTATAAATGGGCAGAAGCAGGCAGGGAGGTTTATAAAGACCTGCATTACCTTGAAAGAGCCATGAAAAGAATGAAAGGAATCAATAGAACATGAGAAAATGGCAGAGCTTTAAAAGCTACTTTTTTTATTTTCCTCATTACACATCCGCTGTTAGGACCGTGTATATACACACACACACTCACACACACAGCCAAACAAGTTTGGGCCATTCAAGTCCATGTAAATAGAGAGCATCACACCCTTTTACCTGGAGTTAAAACACAAGCAAACAAACACACACGCATAAACCCTCCACAGTTTCACTTTAACGTGCATTCACAGGCTGACGCTCCTGTTTAGAGCCTAACATCCTCATTTTTTTTCTGCTGATGGAGTGAAAAGCTAAGTACTCAACACCAATGCTCTGCGTGCTGCCAGCGTTTGATGTAGCCACTTCAGCGTTATTAATTTTATACCCAATTGTTTCCCCTGTGGTTTTGTTGTGTGTGTGTGTGTGTGTGTGTGTGTGTGTGTGTGTGTGTGTGTGTGTGTGATGTGTGCAGCACAGGAGAGGCCGGAGCAGAGGCTTACCTGGATGCACTATTTGAGGAGCTGGCATTAAGACAGAAGAGTGGTAAGGAAGTTAAATTATCAAGTTTTAACTGGGTCTCGTGCTAAAAAAAGATATTTCTTCTCCTGAAATTTTGGCGATTGTGAGTCAATTTAATGTGTTTAAGTTCATCCAGCTATTTTTTTTTTTCATCCCAAAAGATATGAGAAAAAATGTGAAAATAAACAAACATCTAAAATTCTTATAAATTTGGACAAAGATAATCAATTTTATTTACACATTTTTCCAATTGCACTGCAAACCAAATAGCGTAAACGCTTCCTACTATGGATGGGAAATGATGTTGGGGAATGACAAATCTGGTTATTGATTACAGTCCACAAATTTATTTTTATTTTTTTTAAGTTCTCTTGTTTTTGCTGACGATATTGTAAAATTTTGTGGGAACCTTCAACAATTAGCACTAATAAACACAAACTAATCAGTTTCACATCTCTTTATGCCAAGGCAACACCACTCCACTTACTGGATCAAGTCCAGTTTCAGCTCAAATTTGCCCCACAGATCCATGAAAAATATGTTATGAACCAACTACCAGGCCTAGTCCTTCATGTTATCCTTCGAAACGCTAAGCTCTAAATTTACTGACTAACTGCTTTGTTAAAAGGTTTAAAAGGTGTTTGCAATCTCTTTATCCAATCAAATTGAAGAAAACAAACCACAACAATCATTCTCACTCCATACCTCTTTTTTAATCAAAAGAACAGAGTTGAGGAGCACAACGTGGTGACGACAGCTGCTGTATGTGTACATTACCATTAAAGAAGGGATCAGTTTAAGTAATGATAAAACCTCTAAATATGCCATAGAAAATTAGATTTTTTTCTGCTAAACACCTGCAGAGCTCTCTATTTTTTTTTCCTCACACAGTAACCTAATTTGTCTTGCTCTCTTTGAGCAACCTTAGATGAGTGTCCAGTTACTACTCTTTCTATGTCATATATTTGTTAATTTTGATTCAGAATCAGTGCAATAAAAATTTAGCATCAAAATCTTATGCTTAGCTCAAACTACCAATAAAGTTTGTTTCTGTCTTTGTTTTTAAATACAGAAGTAGACTAAGTTTGACAAAAATTCATATTTGTGTATCATTTCAACAGTATCAATTTAACTATATTACTATTAATGATTTTCTATTTTATCTCCAATCTTGTTTTATTTAGTTCACTTTTATTTTCTTTATTTGTCCTCATTTTTCATTTTCTGCATGTATTCACTATTTTTTTTTATTTACAGACATTTTTATTATACTTTTTTTTCTCGTCATATTTCCTCCTTGCATTTTTCCCCTTATTAATCCTGTTAAAAATTCTGAACAACTATTGATTTGAAGTTTCATGTATAATGAAACAAGTTGGAAAATTCATGCCTTTTATATTTTAGAAGCCCTCCATAGATTTATACAATTAAAAAATAATAGAAAGAAAGCTGATGAAAAGTTTTTGTTATCCTTTTGTGTGGTACTTGAAGTTTAACTGTGTCGTTTTCGAAAACATTTTATTGCGTTGAGGTCAATTTTCGCTGCGCTTTGGTTTCTCTAGTTACTCGTTCTCGTGTTCTCACCGTCCTGGGCAGAGAGGTGACTCTTCAGAAGACGTGTGGCTCCATCGCTGATTGTACTTTTGAAGAACTGTGTGGTAAAGTGAGTAGTGCCTGGCGATGCTGTGGGAGGATTAACATAAAATTGTTTGAAGATGCCTTTCCAATCCTTTATGAATCGACTATTTTCCTCCTTACACTGCTGGAAGCAGTAAAAGTGAACATAGTTTCTGCATTGGAAAAAACAACAACAAAAGTTTAACCAGTTTTTCAGTTTTGAGCATATGGTCTCAACTAAAATGACATATTGATTATTAGCCATCATGTTGCATATTTCTCACTTGAGACTCCAAATGCAATCATGAATAATAAAAACTGCTGATGTTGATGCTCTTCAGTCGAGTCATTATTACCCCTGGGCCTGGTTTCTTTTCCCCTGTGCACTCATATTGTCCAAACCTTTCTCTCTGTGTAGGTCCTATTGGTCCGCTCAATGTCAAAAAGCAAGTCTATTGATGAGTTTATTATTAGCTGGGTCTTTTATACCCTTTTTGCTGCAGTAATCTGCAGTGTATGTGTAAAGTCTCAACCCTGATGGGAGAGTGGGGAGTTTCCGAAGGCATCTGAGCTTCAAGGCTTCCTCTGACATTTGTTGCCATGCCATCATTAATTTTAAGAGCAATCAAATTGAATGGCGGGCCGCCCAAGGACGTTACATCAGCAAGGATATTTTGCACAACATTCTTTTGTGGTAAACTTGGCTCTTTTTTTTTTCTCCCTGCTCTCAGCCGGGATATACAGACCCAACAGCCTATATACATGTAAATATGATTGGCCACTGCTTTCAGCTTGTCCCCTCTTCTCCAGCCAACGGGTGCCAGCGATTACCTGGAAATGGCGCGGATCTTTGACACCGTATTCATCCGCCATGTTCCCAAACTGACGCTGACTCTGAAGGACCAGGCCAGGCGCTTCACCACGCTCATAGACAATTTCTACGACCACAAGGTAAACAGTTTAGATGAAAGTGAGCGTAAGAGAATCAATGCTCCTCCTTTTAATGGTGAATCCTATGTTTTGAACATTGTGGTCCATGAAGGTTTTTTTTTTTTTTTTTTACATTTCTTAACCTGTGTGGAGAATGTTCTTTTTCTTTGAAGAGGTCAAGCTATTTCTCATTGATTTTTGAATAATGGGATTTGAGACATAGCCTTGCATTTAGATTTGTTCCAAAGATCAGCTAGCATTGAGAAATATAAAGACTTTTATACTCAATAATAAGCATGTGGTAATAGGATAAGACCTTCGCTGTACTTTGAAAACAAAATCTATAATAATAATGTTTTTTTTGCTCCCTTTGTGTTCTCTGGTTGCACCTGAGATTTCTGCATCCTGCATTAGGGAACAGATTTAAGTGGATGAAAGACGGCAGTCCACCTTTTAATTCCTCCAACTAAGTTCAATTCACACAAGTTAAGATAAATTAATTCACATTCTTGTAAATCAGGTGGTCTCAATCAAGGGTTTTATTTGTTGCATAAACTGAGCCTGAAATAAAACACCTCAAATACATGGACTGTTGACAGTAAGGATTCTTTACATGTTAGAAATGTGGCTCATTGTCATTGTCCAAAAACCTCAAAATACAGGGACAAACAAGAAAAAAACATTTAAAAAGAGAAGAAAGGTCCTGAATGTGATTTTAGTTTCCAGAGTAAGGGCTTCAGGTCAGGGCATACACCACTACCAACCCAAAAACGGGAAGGTCTGCTTCAATATGCTTCCAGCTAAATCAAAACAAGGACATGTTCTGTGTTATTTGGATCATCCATATGATTGTAGAAGGACACTGAGAACAGAGCATTGCGTCTAGCAATCAGGTCTGAGGAAATTCAAGAGGAAAATGTCAAACTGTCTTTGTTGAAGTTGAGGCCTGATCATTGCGAGAAATACTGGAAGATACAAGAGTGATCATCAGAGTCACCTGGGAATCTCTGGTGGGATTTGAAAAGGCAAGTTGCACCAAGATTATTAAACCAGAGATGTTTGCCCGCAGAGAGTTGGCCAACATTCCTCTAATGTCTGACCATGCAGCACTTTTACCGAAGGTCCTAATAGCAAATGCTCTAAAGAAATACTAAAATGTTTATCATGCTGTGAGAACAAAGTGAGAAATGACAGGATGCCGTCGGCTCATTCCTCTGCCTCATCGCTTGTATATTTGCAAAACTCTCTCTGTGCAGTCGCAATTACACAGAGGTCTGAAAGATGGTACAGACAAGAGCTTCAGGTTACATCTGTAAGACTAAAGTGAACAGGAATTTAAAGTAAGCCACAAAGAATATATTATTAACAGGCTGCCACAGAGGTGGATAGTTGGTTAAGCATTGCTGGAATTCAGCCTCTCCAAAAGGTTAACACTGCTCATGAACATTTAAGCACATTAATTTGCACGTCTTAAACAAATCAAGGCGAGTGATCTTTGGAAAGACATCCTGACGCTTCAGATGTTTTGCTGTCTCGTGTCCTTGATGTATTGTCACGTAACTTTTTTTTCTAGTTCCAGAAAACATTCATCAGGGACAAGAGAAGTCACAGCTATTAAAAAGTCAGACACTCCCAGGTCTAATCCGTGTTTGCTTTTTTTCCCCAGGTGAGAGTGGTGCTTCTGGCAGCGGCTCCGTTAGAGCAGCTCTTCGTCCACACCGGAGGAGAAGATGAGAGAGATCGACAGCTGCTGGATGACCTGGGCCTCAGCGACGTAAGATCTCACCTGCAGCACAAACACGTGTTCATTTTTTCTGGACAGAGATTTAAATAGACGACCCGTAAATTTAAAAACTCACAGCTTTCATCCGATATTTGAATTTGACTGGATTCAAGAGCCTAGTCGAGCCAGCTCTGGTTTCTGCTAACTGCGGTGTTCCACCTTTTTTAGGAGGCAGCAGAGAGGCTCACTCTGTTCACAGCCGAGGAAGAGATCTTTGCTTTTCAAAGGACCGTCTCTCGGTTGAGGGAGATGCAAACTGAGGCTTACTGGACGGAGGGAGATCGCAGTTCCAGCAGCAGACACATGAGTAGCTAACATCTGCAGCCGAAAGCTTTGATAAGAAACTACCTCCCAACAGCATGATGCCTCACTAACCAGCTTCACTCCTTATGGAGTGAATCAACATGTCTTAGAGCAGTGTTGTCCAAAGCCAGTCTTCAGAGGCCGGTGTCCTGCATGTTTCCCCGATTCAGCACACCTGAATAAAATGGAGCTCTTAGCAGATCGTGCAGAACTGGATGTCGTGCTGAGGAGGCAATTCAGCAATTTAAATCAGCTGTGTGTGTAGTGACACATCTAAAAGCATCCTGGACACCGGTTCTGTTTCAGAGTAAGCAGCACTTTGCTCCAAACGGTAAAACAAAAACTGCGTTCCATGTCATCTCATGTCTCCTCATGTTTTATATGAGTTGAATATGTCCTGCAAGGACTGCTCTCTCCCCCTCGTGGACTGCTGGTTTAAAAGGTCGACAGCTTTCCAGGGATTTTACGGCACAGCTGGGAGAGGATCTAGAGTCCTTCCTTTGCGGGTGATTAGTGCCCTCTAGTGGAGGAAAGTTTATAAAAAAAAATTAAACTTTTTTTTTTTTTTCAAATCTGAATGTTGCTCAAACATGAGGAAGTGCATAATTGTGAAGTGAAAAAAAATGATGCGTAGTTTTCAATATTTGTTTTCACAATCAGAAATCTGGAAAACGTTACAAATATTTGTGTTCTTTCTTGATGGCTGTGCAGAGAACAAGACCCACAGCAATGCTTATTCCAACTTCTAAGATCAGTTTGGATTTTTAGTAAACATAACATGCAGAAGAAAGCAATAGTACTGGGAGAAATCCCACAGGAGATAATTCCACAGAAAGTTCAAAATAACTTTTTTATTTGAGATAGTTATTAGTGATGCAAGAGCCAAATTGTATTTTACCTTCCTTTTAAACTGTTTGCCTATGTTTAACTGTTACTCTATTTTCATATGATTAAATATCTTGGTTTTTCACGGCATAAATGCCCAGTGTTGGTGAATACATGAATAAATTAAAATATTTTTTTTAAAAGACGTATTCCCTGTGTTTTGTTTTGTTTTGAATGATTTGTGACCATCTGGTACAGTAGTTGTTTTCAGTGTATCCCTCTTTTGCTTGTAGGTGGCAGCAGAGATCAAGAATTTCCTCAGGTGTTATTATTGTCCATCCAGAGATGAGGTCATCCTAGAGCAGCACTCCAGCCTGGCCCTGCGAGCTTTGATAGCATCTACTCGATCTAGACTAAGAGCCTTATGTAAGAACAGATCAAGCCGGCCAACCAGCCAGAGTCATGGAACAAACACCAACATACCAGACAGTATCTGTGATCTCACTAGATTTAAGCGACAATGCGGATGTGAAAAGATACAAGCCTCTTTAAAGGATACAAGCCTCTGCACCATACCTTTCAGTTAAAGGAAAATCCATTACGTCCTATATGCCAAGGACCCCTTTTATCCAATTGGTGCATTACGTTGGTCAGAGGGGAGATGGATGCCGTTCATCGTCATTGTCTTAAATGGATTATCCTCTCTGGTTTACAAGACTGTTCATAGTCTCAATCCACACATCTCAGCAGGAAAATACCACCTTGTCCTATTACCTAAACCACATACTATACTGATGTGAGTCATTGCCCTGACGGCTGTTCTGTCAGGTTTGTGTTGGATTGTCTCTTCTTTGAGTGTCTTTGGACTGGAAGAGGTTTTAATTTAATTTTCATTGGATTGTTTTGTTCTGTCATCCAATATAATCAGATTCCTTTGATTTATCTGGAGCTGCAGCACCTTGCTTCAGTATTCATGCATTAAGAATGCAAAGTAATATGTTCTTTAAGTAAACATCTCGTGCATTTGTATTCAGCCCCTTTTTTTATGCAGAAAGCCCTGATTAAAGTCAGTTGCAACAAATTGCCTTGAAAAGCTTAATCTCTATAAATCCAGCTGTTCTGTGGAAGATTATAAGAGAACATTAGTGAACAAACAGCATTCTGAAAAAACTCAAAGTTCAGTCCAGTACGTGAAAGTGGAAACGTAATCCATAAAGACTCTTACTTACAGAGGCTCGTGGTACCCTGGAGGAGCTGCAGAGATTTACTGCTGCTCAGGTGGGCGAATCTAATAAGACAACTAGATGTGCTTTTCACAAATCAAAGAAAGAAATAAAAATCTAGGGTTTCACCCTGAAAACATCATCTCCATGGTAAAACGTGGAGATGGCAGCATCATGCTGTGGGGAAGCCTTTCTTCTGCAGGAAAAAATAAGTTGGATAGAGATAAAGAAAATAGACATTTACTGCACAGTTTTAGCTCACCTCAGAGTTTGTAAATGTACACGTGGGAAACATTTGTCAGTGTTTAATTCCGTTCCTTTGTGCATGCAGACACAAACCAGCACTCAAACATTTTAACATATCAGTGCTCAGTTGCTCTGCAGAAGCCTGACACCCGTGTCAGCTTTCCTCCTTGATGTGAACAAGAACCGTCTACCAACATCTCTGCATGGAGTAGTTCCTATACATTAAGAGTCATGACTCTTCACCAATGCACCAACATGTTGAGTGATAATGAAAAACAGTAGCGGTGTGAAACCATAATTTCAATGTTTTTCATTAAGCTATTTTTGAAATTGCTAATATACAGGCGACGATAATCTGAGAAAGGAAGAGAACTAATATAATGAATATTGTGCAAGATTTGTCAGAATAATCGTGATCAGCAGCGCATTCCTGCACAAGAGCGGCGAGAACGCGCACCATGCACAGCACTCAAGCAGGAGACAAAGAGGATGACGGAGGATGTTATGATTCAGTCAAGGTAGAGAAAAAGAGGTGGGGGGAAAAGGAGTCAGGAGAAGAACTGGCCATCAACTTACCCATCCTGATTTTTCCTCTTTATTTCGGGTTAATAACTGGGGTGACGTAATTATTTTTGGACTCCAGTAGGGGGCGTGGTCAGATCATCGTGACAGGCATGATTGACAGCGCGGATCTCTCATTAAAGGCAACATGCACGAAATCTTGAGCACATATAGTCTTGAATGTTTTTCCAGATAATTTTTTTTTTATATTATTCTTTTTACAAATAAACTAAAAACCGTGGTGTGCATTTGCATTTAGTGCCCTCTACTTTGACAGCACTGAATATTAACCAGTCTAATCAACTAGCTTAAGATGTCATCTATAAATAAAAGATTTGACACTACTTGCATGTAATTTTGTCTCAGATTGAACACAGCTAACATTTCAGAGGGTATTTTGGAGAACAATAGTGAACAAGCAGCATCATGAAGGCCAAATAACATGGGAGATAAATCGGGGGGG